TCCCAGCCGTGACTCGGGCTGCTCAGCAGAACGCGCTAACATGGAGCAACGCTAACCGGACCGAAGGAGAACCTCACACTCTGACAATATCGTCTGATTTTCAAAGATGAATGAATACTTCTATGAATCTGCAGCATTAGAGCAAGAAACTGATGCAGAAGCTAATCAGTGAAGCAGCAGGAGCCACGTCCAGCCAACACACACGAGCTCAACACACACGGCGCTTTGAGGGGTTTTATCATAAAAAGTTTAGAAATATGAAGTTTCTTTGTCTGGAAATGTATTTTATGAGAAAGGAACCAGACAAACATCTTTGTGTTACATATAGAAATGTTTACTTCACATCAAACTGGTGAATAAGTTTTACATCAGAGATCTGAAGCTGAGTCAGTGCACAGCTTCAGATATTACAGAGGATGACCTCTGACCTCAAAAGGACAAGAGAAATTATCTTTAGTCTCAGGTCTTCTGGAGAAGCAGCATTCAGTTTCTACGCATCACAAATCTGCAACAAACTCCCAGAAAACTACCAAACTGCTGAAACAGCAGCGGAGTTTCCATTACACTGTAGTTTCACAATTACAGTGTTTCCATTACATAAAAAAGGATTAAAATCACAATAAGTTGAGTAAGTTTGACATGAAGCGTCATCCTTCTGCAACTGCTTCCTGTCTTCTTCTTGGTTTCCACCAGTAGTAACTTCCTGTTCTGATCATGTGATTCGCGTTATTAAAAAAAATATTTTTTAATTTCCATGTTTCCCATTAAGCAAAATTATTTTCAAAATATCAAATTATTTGGTCAGTAGAAATGCAGCTGCTGCCTTCATTCATAACGAAACTAAAATCACTTTAAACCTGCAGTTTTATTTGTGATATAAAACATAAACCTGACTTGGAATCTGAACAATCAACCATCAATAATTGTTTTTAAATAATCTGAATTGGTCAAACTGGAGCTCCAGAGCAGCAGCTGTCCTACCTCGGATGGTTTCTTGTGCGGGAGGCGGACCCAGGTGCTGCTGGTGCCGGCGTTCTTCGAGGACCTGGACCACGACGTCACCTGACCTGCAGGACCGTTACAGACACAGATCAATCATCCCTTTCTGGTCCCTTTATGCCGACGATTGTCATTAAACAAAAAACCTCAGTTTGAGATGTGAAATCCTTCACTGCAGTTCGTTGAGAAACTGGAGAAAAGCCGAAACAATGAGGGCTTAACAATGACTCAGCAGAAAATCTGCAGAACAAATGTTATTACAGAGCTCAAAGATTTATCTTTTAAATAAATTATTTTATTTTCTGTTATATAAAATAGATTACAAAGAATTTATAGAGTTGGTAATTATTCCGATGTTATTTACAGAATAACATAATAATAATTGCTACTATTATTGTTGCCAGGGGTCTGTAGATTTTCCTGTCGTTAGTTTGTAATCATTTTGTTTGTGTAAAATTATTGTTTTGTTAGTATAGTATATTTGGTAAATGTTGACTCCTTTGCAAATAGAAAAACTAACCCTAAGCTGATTATTCTGTTCCTGGTTTATCGTTCACGTTTTCTCTCGTCCAACTGAGTTTTTAACAACTGGTTTGAATTAAATGACTAAATGAAATGAAAAAGCTTCCAAACAAACAGCGGCTGAAGGCTTTAACTGATGACGATCCATGAAGAGGTTAATTAGGTAACGACAATATAAATAACATCTTGTTAGCGCCCTGCTCCTCTACGCTCCATTACCAGCTCATTAATACTCTACTTAATTGTAATTAAGCAGAGGCTGGAGCCAGCATCCACCCACCACTTCACCCAGCAGCTCCACCGGGTTTCGCTGCTTTACATCCTTCAGCACCCAAACCATGTCTGCCTGAGTCTGCACACCGAGGAATGACAAACAGAATCAGACGGCGTCCTTTGCAATGAATTTGGGTTGAATGTGGCACATCAGAGTCCGAGCGCCTGTGAACGCGCGCCACTCAACATGTTCGTCCATCGCCGTGCTGGCTTCACCCGTCAGCAGCTCGCTGCCTTTGGAGGTCACGACCCCTTCACCACTGAGATCACACACACAGTGAAGGAGTGTGTATTTATTGATGAGGATTCAGCCTCAAACATTAAAACCTTTTTGACTTTCAGTTGCTACAAATGACCTGAAACACGTCCAGAAATGTCGAACGATTATATCGACGCGTTGCTGTTTACATCCAGATATTTCACTGCAGGACAAAAACACGATTCTTTTCTTTGGGAATTGTTAAGAAGTTATTGTCATTAACGATAGCATTGTTTTCCAGTAATATGATGGTAGTGAAATAGTAATAAAGCAGGAACAGATTCTCAACGCTCAATAAACGTTAAACATTTAATGCTGGAACTGGGAGACATTTTAAATATCCAAAATAAATCAACAGGACAACAAATAAAATGAATTATAAAGTCCCTGCTGGTTGAGACCAAAACACCAGACTGAAAACTTTTACCATCCGGTTTTTGGTGGAGAGAGAAACGATAAATCACGACTGAGCTCGCTTTACTTGATCCTGCCATGAATTGATTTCTTGGGCCGGAGCGTTGCCAGGGTGTCGAGGGCCTGATCAGGTCGTGTGTTTGGCTTTAGGCTCAGGTCAGCCGGTCCCGTCTGAAGGTTCCTGTGACCGACCAGACCGGTCGGGCCACACATCAGGACAGAACCGGAGCAGCCGCTGACTGAAGCACCAAAATCTCCTAATGGGAGTTTGGTTCTCACTCCAAACAGACAGGAAGCTTACGCTCAATTACTCTTGATGAGGAGCACATTGCTCTCCTCCTGCAGCCAGGCACAGCTCTCCAGGATCTGCAGGAAACATCAGACTTTCACGTTCGTGAAGTAAAAGTCCAGCGTTAAAGAGCAACACGATCACTGGTCCAGGGTTGCATGAACAGAAAACCCATCAGAGCAAATATCACAGAACATCTGAACCAGAATGTGGGGCTGATGATTCCTATCGGTCTGCAAAACTCCATGTGCTAATCTTCTGCACACTGCACTGTAAAAACACTAAAGCAGGTATTCTGGTTAGGCCTCTAGAGCAAATATCTTCAGCAAGAAATAAGATCTTCATTTAAGTAAATAATTCTTTAATACCGATGAGAAAGTTCTAGATTATTTAACTTATAACAAGACTTTTTCCTTTTTTGCTTGTATTGACTAAAAACAAGTTCATATATCTCACTGAAGTTACTTGTAAGTTAGTTTTGTTTTATTTCAACTGTTCTATTAGCCAATCCATCCAATTTTATTTGCATAGCACATTTCAAAGAGCTTCACATCAAAAAAATATAAAAATTCAAAGTCATAGAAACACAGTCAGCAATTGAAATATTACATTTCCCATCAATGCACATCATATTGTTGATTAATGTCTCATTTACGAGGTTCAGCTGTGTGCATATCCTGCGATACAAGCACAAAAAATACCAGGTAAGATTTAATGTTTTGCAGTGCAGCTCTGCTACCACATGGCAGCTGCTGGCCTCCGTCACCAGATACCCGAACACGCAGGCGAAGCCTACCATCATGGCTGCGTGTTAATTAGAAGCCACTCTCAGAGGCCAGCAGCCAAAATTATCCTGGGCATCCTTCAATTAGAAGCCTGATGACCTCCAGTGAGGTCAGGAGGAAACGCTGAGCAGCACAAACAGCCCATTAAAGATGCTGCAAAAAAGCTGCACAGACCTGAGACCGCAGGCCGCGACACTGACAAGAGGTCCGGCTGCACAATCAGACACAAAACAGAACCAGATAGTCGCTGCTTTCACTGCGCTGCACTTTTTACTTTCAATAGTCGTTTTATCCTGAAGTATTTCTGCTCTTACTTGAGTGAAATTTCTGGATTTTCTTCCCAGTGAATGAAAAACAAACATATTTTAACCAGAATGTCACCAGACTCAGACAAACACCTGCAGTTTCTGTTAAAGTTCACAAGATTTGAAACTTTTTATTTGATTTTTTGTCACTTACATGAAATATTGTCATTTTGTCCGTAAAATACCGAAATAGCTAATATACCTTATATTTTAGTTCATCCAGTTATGTTATTTTTTAATATTAAATGTTATTCAGTACTTGAGTTTTACCAAATATTTTTACGTTTTCTTGAGTAAAAACATGTGGAGGTAGTTCTGCTCTTACCTGAGTAATATTCGGCCTCCTCTGGACACAAATCATTAGAAATGCTTCATTCTTTCTCTAAACTCCTGTAGAAATCGACTTTTTAACTGTCAGCAGTTCTCAAACTTTATGCTTGACAGCAAATGGGGAAAATAAACTCTGATAAAATACATTTTCAACATCAGCAAGAATAAAATGACCCGAAATATTTTGCTTCTGAAACATTATTTTTGCTGCTGCTGCACTAATTGATCACATTGAAACTTCTTGTTTGATTTTCTCTTATATTAGCCATTAGCTAAAGTAACATTTGCATTTTTATAAAATGATATTTTGTAGATTCAGTGATTGATTTTTGCATTATTGATTATTAGATAGCGAAATGTGATTTTGTTAAGTACAAAATTGTATTAAGTTACTCCTCTGATTATGTTCTTTTAACACCTGGACATGTTTTGAGTGTTTATACTCCAGTTAACGATTAATCAATAACTAAATTAGTTGACGATGGTTTCAGTAATCGATTAATCACAGTTAATTTGATTAATCGTTCCAGCCCAAGTAAAAATTATTCCCCTTTATTTATTTTTGTCCAATTTACAAAGAAAAGGGAGCAGAACCCAAATGTATCCCATACATCTGACTTTTATTCCTAATCATGCTCCAATTTTAATTGTTAAAAGGAGGAAAAAAAACACACTCATGTCTGTAACTAATAAAACCTTTAACATTTTTATACTTGTGCCATAGAGTCAGAAACTTCCACTTCCAGATAAAAACATCCACATTTCATCTTTCTTCCACTTACTGTCAGTGGTGTCAGAGTCGTTGCTGCTTGTGGAGTATTTCTCTTCTTTTCGCTCTCCATCTGTCAGCGGGGGGCGGCGGGCACACCGGGGCGAGCGAGAGAGAGAGAGGGAGGGAGGAGGAGAGAAAATGACGAGTGAGAAGATGTTCGCCATGAAAACAGAAGAGCTAGCGTCTGTCAGAGGAGAGCCTTCACATATTCACACTCAAACACTTAATATGCAACATTCAGTGCGAGATAATTGAGCGAATTTTCAAAAACATTACTTCCAGGGGTATTTTACTGGAGTAATTTATTCTGGAGTATTTCTACTCTTAATTGAGTAAAGTTTTTTGGTATTCTGCTTCTTTTTTGACTTGAATCCTGTTGAGTGAAACCAAACGAACCCAGAATAAAACAAAAAGGAAACAGGAAAACTTCCAAAAGCTCCATGAAAGACTTAGAAACAGCTTCAAAATCAGATCAATGTTTTGCATTGATCTGATTTTTATCAATGCAAAACATTGCATAAACATTGCATAGGTAACTAGCTTTTTTTCAGAAAACTGAAAAAAAGCTAGTTACCTGTCAACATATTGATGTTGGCTCAGTATTCCCCGACTTCAACATTTAATACCTCTAAGAATGTATTTTTAATGTAATTAATCCATTATAAGGAGTTTTTTAGACTTTTTAAAGATGTGACCCTGGATGTATTCACTGCCCTTTTCTACAACCTCTAAAGAATTAACTACGGGGATTTCATCAGAAAGAGCATCTTTTTCCCGCAGTCAGGATCGGATCGATCTGCAATCTGCCAAAAGTTACTTAAGCAGTTCCATCTCACAGCAGACCTTTCTGTCAGCTTCAGCTGCCTCCCACTCCAGTTAATGTGCAACTCAGGGGGGAAAAACGTCGTCGGCTCACGAAGCCTGAGGGGAAGTAAAGCAAGAATGCAAATAAACATACATGAAGCCAAAAGGAAATTAGCTCAAACGAAAAAAGTTCACCACGAATGGAAAATCTGAGAAATAAAAACCTGAGAGATGAATCATCCTGCAGCTAAAACAGCAAAGCTCCTTCACCTGCAGCGTCATGGAGACATTTAAAGGTGCTTCCAGATGCAGGTTAGGATCTATGGTCTGTGCAAAACCTCAGAAAGAAGCCCTAAAACGCTCACTGATCAGACTGGAATACAGACAAGCTGCTGCTGCTGGCCACGCCCCCAACTCAACAAATTATACAACTGTACATCTTTGAAAAGCATTAATGGAGCATCCTGCACAACCAACAAGAACGCAGCCAGTGGTTTCTGGATGCCAAGTCTGGACTGCACCTATCATAATGACAATTTTTCCGGAATGAAAGAATTTATCGCAACAACAGCATTGTTGTTTTCAGAAAGTTTTCATGTCATATAATGGTGTTAATGCAAGAACACATGATCAAAGACTGACAAAAACTTTAAGTTCTAAGGAACATTTAAACTGGAAGACATTTTAAATATCTAAAATAAATAACAGAAATGAATTATGGAGTCTCTGGAAACAAAACTGTCCTTTTAAAAAAGGTTTAGTTGAGACCAAAGCAGCAAACTGGAGGAAAACGATAAATTTACACTTCATTTGCATTTCCATGCAAATGGAAATTATTGAGCTTGTTTTAATTCATCATGTGATTGATTGACTTATTGTGACAGGCATAAACAGCAAAACTCTTGTCTTTTCCAGCAGCCATTGTACAGCACACAGAGGCAAAACCAGCTGACCAAACATGCTGTAGATCAGAGGTTGCTAGGCAACATCACAGTACCTGTCAAATGAGATTTTTTTTAAACCTATTCCCAGAAAACGGCAAGGTGTTTGTTTAAAAACTCTTGGTCTGTCTTTGAAAGAAACTCAGACTCAAATAGAAAAACAAAACAAGCAAAATGTGAGAACAAAAAGATTAGAAATTATCAAATGAAACGGCAACGATTCTGAAATTCACTTGGAGCAAACTTCCACATCCAGGCAGGAAAAGCAAAAAGAGGCAGTTTAGTGTGCAGAGGGCAGATTTATGTGGCAGTAAAACGGGGCAATTCCCTCTTATATGGGACTCTTCCTGTTCTTCAGTCTCTCCGCCTGCCGTGCGCACACTTAACCACTCTGACATTTATGCTGACAAAAAAAATCAGCTCTCCCTTCCTGCCTCTGCTTTTTCTATTCCAAAGAAGCTTTTTTATTCCCCTTCCCTCTCCCCGCCTCGCGCCAGCCCTGTGCTTCACAATAACAAGGAGGGATGCAGGGAGTCTGCGGAGGAAGGTTAAGTACATTATTGACTTCCTCAGCCTCTGGTTCTCCCGTCTGTCGGCCCCTTCCTCGTCTCTCTGATTCTGACGGAGCGGTTAGGAGCATCCGTCTCAGGGTTAGTTTATTTTTTCCTACTAAACTATAAAACGAACCACTTGAGCCACATTCTGCTTTCTTTATTTCTGGCAGTTGATTCCTTACCTACCTGACTGACCAGAGGAGGCTGAACAAGATGTACAAAATCCTTACAAAAATCCCCTCAAAAGATGTTCACATAAAAAATAATATAAAATAATTTCCAGTCATTTTGTTTTCAGTATCATAAAATTTGAACTAGGCCTGCAACTATTCTATCGATTCCTCTGTTGATTAATCGATTAATCGGATAAAAAGATTCTACAGATTTTTGACTAAAATACTTAAGAATCTTTGTTCAACAAACAAATAATTCAACTGATTTAACATTTCATAGCATAAAATATGACATTAATGAAGCTATGCTACTTAAGGAGTTTTGAGCAAAATGTGTTTACAGACAAATGTTTCTCTTTATGAATAAATTAATGATCTGACTAAACCTAACTGGGCAAAGAAAAAATATTCTGTTGAGACGATGCAGGAGGTAAACACTCAGATATTCCCACACAGGGAAACTTTTGCTATGGGACACCATAACGTTGTTACGGGACCCATTTCAATTGATGCAATGGTATAAAAACAACGCAACAAAACATTATCAAAGATCAACAAACTTTAAATACTGGTGAGCATTTAACTCTGGAACTGGGAGACATTTCAAATATCCAGAATAAGTAAAAACAGAAACAACACATAAAATGAATTATGAAATCTCTGTGAACAAAATTAGCCTTCAAGAAACAGTTTAGTTGAGACTAAAACGGCAGATTGAACATTTTTTATATTAATTGAACAGTACTAACACTGACATAGTTGACCAAATGAGGAAAAAACATTTCTATTCATGAAAATAGTTTTACAAAAAGAGGATTTGCTGTTTTGCTGTTGAGGATATTTTGAACAGTTTTGGCTTAATTGCTGCTCTGACTATGTTAATTTTAGCAAATGGTCTTTTTAACTGAGATAACTATTAATCAATTATTGATTAATCAGTTATTGATTAAGCAGTTTATTGTGATTAATCAGTTATTGTGATTAATCAATTTATTATGATTAATCAATTAATCACTCTAAAACACTATAACTTCTAAAAGGCAGATTCTTTTATAAACATAAGATTCTTAGTTTTGCACAAAAATAACACAAAACATCTCGATATTCTTTCACAGAAAAAGCAGTCTGACTTCAATCATTCAAACATGATTCCAGCTGAAGAAGTGCATTCACTTCTGTTCATTATTCAAATTAGTTTTAAAAGTTTTCCATTGAGAAAACCCTTAAGCTGCTTAAATGGGTGTTTGAACTATGAATAATTAAATTGGTCAAATGAAAACATCAAAAATAAACTACTTGCAACAGATCAGAACAGATCATCACCAGCGGTAAACTGAGTTTCAGTTCAGGGGGCTGAACTTTACCAAACCACAAAGGTTTAGATTTCAAGCAGAACTCGGCTGAAGCACAACAGAAGGTCACTCTGTGTTTGTTCAACTTAATCTAACTTAATGGCTCTCTGTAATCTAGTTCAGATTACGTAAATCTGGAATGACTTTATTTCAAATTACTCAGCTAATCTGTACAGATTAAACTTGTGTTGTATAAAATCCAGAAAGCCAACAAACAGCACACAGCATCTTGACTGTGTGCTGTTTTATTTCGATTTATTTCTTGGTTCTGAAATAAATCGAAACGTTTTCTGTGTGCAGCTTTGAGGAAGCCGGCGCCGCTCGCAGTGAGACGGCTGCAGAATGCATGCTGGGAAAGCCAATCGCCCGGGGAGCTAATTAATTGCCTGACTATGACTCCGTCGAGAGTCCCATGTCTGCCCAAACGCTTAGAGGCGTAACGTCTTAAACGCACAACAGACCACGCATGAAAAAACAGAGCATGAGGATAAGAAACCATGAGTCAGTTACTTCACAGGCTAATGAAGTCGGATCAGCTGCAGCAGCGTGTTGGAGGGAAAGTCAGCTGAAAGCAGCTGGCACTAATCGCTGGTATTTGATACATGACTGTTTCAGGGTGTTCGCTCCTGCCAGATGCTTCATGGCAGCTCATTCTCACCCGGTAACATTTCCTTTTATCTCTCTAATTTGGCAAGTGGAAAATAAAGGAAAAGATCCAACTGAAAGTTTGTCTTCCTAATTATAGTTAGCTTCAGTGTGGTCTTCAAGGATCTACCATTCAAAAATATATTGTCATGATCTGCATAGAACTGCATCCCATCCAATGAATGGAATAATCAAAACTTCTCCAGTGGGAAGCAAACTCCTTCTGCTTGTGATTATTTCACATTTTTATTTGTTATGTTGGTTGCCAATTTTAGCCTGATTACAAAAGAAAAATCTCCATTTCCATCTACGGTCCAAATATGTAATATTTTTGAATTGTAGTTGGGGACCGCACAAAGTCAGCCAAACATAGGCCCCCGGGCCTTACCTTGGACATCCCTGCTCTACTATCAATAGGAGATTCACTGAACTTTTTCCACCAGCTTCCAGATCCGTCCCAACTGCAAGATCACCATCTGCATGACGACATGTCTCTCTGCCTCCCTCCATCCACCCGTCTGTCCATCCACCCGTCTGTCCATCCACCCGTCTGTCTGTTCACTCATCTGTCTGTCCGCCATCCACCCGTCTGTCTGTCTGTCTGTTCTGTCTGTCTGTCTGTCCTACCGTCCATTTACCCGTCTGTCCGTCCACCCGTCTGTCTGTTCACTCATGTCTGTCCGTCCATCCACCCGTTTTGTCTGTCTGTCTGTCCGTCCACCTGTCTGTCTGTCTGTCTATCCGTCCATTTACCCGTCTGTCCGTCCACCCGTCTGTCTGTTCACTCATCTGTCTGTCCGTCCATTCACCCGTTTGTCTGTCTGTCTGTCCGTCCATCCACCCGTCTGTCCATCTACCTTTCTGTCTGTCCATCCACCCGTCTGTCTGTCCGTCCACCCGTCTGTCTGTCTATCCGTCCATTTACCCGTCTGTCTGTTCATCTGTCCGTCCACCCGTCTGTCTGTCCATCCACCCGTCTGTCCATCTACCTTTCTGTCTGTCTGTCCACCTGTCTGTCTGTCTATCCATCCATTTACCCGTCTGTCCGTCCACCCGTCTGTCTGTCTGCCTGTTCATCTGTCCGTCCACCCGTCTGTCTGTCTGTCCGTCTGTCTGTTCATCTGTCCGTCCACCGTCTGTCTGTCTGTCCGTCTGTCTGTTCATCTGTCCGTCCACCCCGTCTGTCTGTCCGTCCACCCGTCTGTCCTGCCTCGCGGTCCCATTTCCTGCCTTCTGTCTGTCTGGCAGTGCGTCCCTACCCTGTCTGGCTGTCTGTTTGTCTGTCCTCTCCCTGCAGATGATGCTGCAGAAGAAAAGCTGCTCTTATTTAAGACAGTACAACATCATCTCTCAAGACTCCCATCTATTATTAAGAGACAGTAGCTGCAGAAACCCGGAGAAAACTCGACTCTTGCTGTCAGGAAAAGGTAACGGCTCCATTACCTACAACCTCGAAACCTGAGATAAACTGGAGCCCAGGCAGAATTATGTGTTTGTTTTCATCGAATAAATGAAACCAGCAGATCAAGTCTGCGCTGCGTGACGACATGAACGTCTCCGATGCCAGAGGTCAGTCGGTCTGATAAGGGAACTGATCGGCTTCAC